TATTACAGTGCCCGCAGGATGCCCAACGGCAGCATTTTGAAGGCTTTAAAGAGGAGAGAACAGAGGAGGCAAAACTGAAACGGCCCAAGCACTGTGCAGCTTGATCGATTTTTCTAATCTGCCTTTTCATTGGCATCCCCCGCAGCACGCACTTTGACGCACCTGGCGGGGCACCCAACCAAAAACGACACACACAAAAACCCCACTCGCATAGCGCACACAGTTACAGCCACAGCCACAGCCACACAACTGCCTGGGCTGGCATTGTCCAGTCAAGCGCTTCATTGTCCCCACAGTGACTGTCATGAAGTCCAACTAAGCGGAAGCTGTAGGAATTTACCAACGTTTAAACTTTAATGCTTGGTACAACAGTTTTTATTTCTTCCTCACTCTCTCTCTCTCTCTCTCTCTCTCTCTCTCTCTCTCTCTTTCCCTGAATGTGTGTGTTTCCCTGAATGTGTGTGTGTGTGTGTGTGTGCTTGAGATTTTTTTCTGTTTTCCCGACTGTTTCTCACGACTGTGTGGCCAGAGCCCAGAGCCCGCCAGCGCCCACCATAGCCCGCTTCACCCCGCTCCAATTGAACCTAATCCGGCTGCTAAAGTATTAGCTACGTAGTTGTATGCTCATCCCGGCTGTCCAAACTGCCTTATGCTGCTTTTGTTGTTTGCTGGCATTTAACAAAAAACAAAAGAGCCAAGGAATAAAAAACTGCACCAGAGAGTTAGAGACAGAGAGACACAGAGAGACAGAGAGAGAGAGAGAGAGAGGTAGTGGATGTCTGTGGCTAAGCCAACAACGGAACCAGGAGGAATCGGAGAACTGACGTTTGTTAAAAGTTTTCTCCTCTCTCTCCAAGTACGAGTATGAATTTGCCACTGGCGTTGCCAGCGAAGGTGGAGGTAGAAATGGAACTGCAGCGTCCACTTAATAACAAGGCATCAGCCCGCTGGACAGCCGACGGGCATACTAATCTACAGTCCACTTGGGCATGGGGGCATGGCCCCCCTCTAAATTAAGTGACCGGCTTAGAGCTCTTACCGAACCCCCCGCCCGCCAAACAGGCGCGTTGTAGGACTTCTCTGAACTCCGCCATATCGCCATATACGAGTATATATAAGACTGATGTGCTTTGTGTATTCTTCAAACTCCTGTGCTGCATTCCGGCACCCAAGTGCGGGCGGACTGGGCGTCTGGTGGGGGGAGTGTCTAGAGGCCAAAGTGGACAGCGAATGGACAGGAGGGCAAAGACATTAATGACACCCAACATCAATGAGTGTCAGTCGCTGTTCTTGTTTGTGAAAAATGAATACAAGACGACAGGGACAGGGATAGGAACAGGGACACGCCTGGCAGGTGACGCTCATGGAGCTTGCGAGCTTGGGAGCTTGACTTGGCGTCAGCATGGCGTATGATTGATTTTCCAGTCGTAAACTATGGCTGAGCTGTGCCGAAGTCGGTGCCAGATAAATGCGGCAAGTATTAAACGGCAAATAAGCTTCAATAATAATAAAAGTTATAAATCTTTTGCACTGCCTGTCGACGACGGCAGCAGCGGAAAGGACAAGCGACGGGCAAAGCGGACCCGTACCCGGCGGTGCTGGAGGCGGTGGACACGGCTTGTCCTCCAAAAGGACGACGACATGCTGCAACGTAGCGATAATAACAATTTATTGCACACGCACACACCCATACACATGACTAGACACGCTGAGACACACATACTCATACTCATACTCATACCCAAACTCGTACAGACTCGTGTGCAGAGTTGCCAAGTGCCGGAAAATGCCGCGAGACAGGATTGCAATAGCAACAGCGGCCAGAGCCGAACAGACAAAGCGAAAAAAAAAAGGCGAGGCGAGGCGAGCAGGGCATAAAAACCGCACAATAATAAAAATGAACAATGACAGGTTAATAGCAAATAAATGAAAGCCCATAAGAAAGGCGGCGCAACAACAACCACAGAGGAGATGCAAGCAGATGGAAGCAGGCGCCAGAGCTGGAAACTGGAGAAACCAGCACCAGGAGGCAGAGAACCAGAGAGCCAGACAACAAAAGCAACGAGCACAAGGAGGAGGCGACAATGGCAAGGCCGGCGACTGCTGCTCCGGTCCAGACTATCGACGGACAAACTATGCTCTTCGCCTAGGCAATTGATATATAGTTTTCAATTTTAAAAACCATTGAGCAGAGCACATCAGAGCGGGAGCGGGAGCGGGAACGGGAGCGGGCGAGACGAGTGCCATGGAAGTGGAAGTGGGGTGAAATTGCCATCAGGAGGAGCCATCGAGGACGTTGTTGGCATATTTAAAGCATAACTGCAGACACGACCAGCGACAAGACCTCCGATAATGGCTGCAAACGTACTTAACGGCCACAATAATGACGGTAATGGGCGATGAGTTAGCGGCGAGCAGCAGGCAGCTGGCAGCCTGCTGGATGGGGCAGGCAGGTTGACAAAATGCATTCGGCATGCAATGCGCCGCCTGCCAATAATAATCGTCGCCCCATCATCATCATAATCATCATCATCATTACCATTAGTGCAGTGAGTGGGATGATTGAATGGGAGGACACTCACTCGCACTCGCACACGAATCAGATTCAGCCTTTGTGTCTGCTCGGGTAAGCGGAAAATACATTAACTCAAAATCAGTTCCTGAATACTGAATTTATTTTCAGAATTTAAAGTACAGAATCTATAATTGGTAATTATTCAGCTTTTGATTACAATTTGAGTGCAAATATCGTATAGTGTTTCAGTAATTTCTTTAATATTAAAAACTGTCAAGTAATTTTAATTCCCAATAATTATTACTAGTTTAATCGGTTGATGCCTTCCATCAAAATATTCATACAGCTCTGTGTGCTTTTTTTTTGCATCTTTGGGATTTAAATAATCACTAAATATGCTTATTTATGCAATAAAAAAAAAGAAATATTGAGTGATTTAAATATGAATGCATATGCATAAGCGATGCAGCAAGTAAAAACGGAAATAAATTGAAATAATTTCAGTGAGGAATTGCAAAATGGGTCCATAAACAGCCTTAATCTATTTGATTTTATTTTATTTCATTTTATTTTATAATTTAAATATGCCATATTTAAATTGGGAACACGCAGCTGGAGAGGTGTCGCAAGCCGCCTGCAAGCGGATTAAATTCTGTCCGTCTGGCCTCAGATCGGATCACATCGCATTTTATTAAATTTTATTTCAAAAGTTTTTAGCCAAAGTGACAAGCAGAAAAATCGATCACCTGTTTAAAGTTCCCACCCACGTCCGTTCAGAGCAGAGGGGGTAGAATGTTGGGGCTACTTGGCAGCTGTGCCAACGCCTGGCGAACGCATCAGTCAACGTCCTTACGGTCTAACAAAGGACGACATTCGGCGGGTGGGACACACACACACAGATACACACACAGAGACGGACCGAATGGTCTCAGGGGGTAAAGTAGAGGGAGTGACTCCTCGTCGGGGACCACTTTATAAGCCAAATTCAACGCTCTCTCTTTCTCGTTGTTGCTCTCAATGCTGGGAACGCTTTTTCGTTGTTGCTGGCAATGCGCCTTTGTCTGTTGTTTGCCTTCGCAATGACGACAACTTTTTACATTCTTTTTAGGTCTCTCTCTCTCTCTCACTCTATCTACGTCTCTGTGCGCCCCCGCTTTCTTCTTTTGGCAATTTGTTTCTGCATCTTACAACGAATTCAATTGAAAATTTCAACAGACACTCGACATTGGGAGAGGGACGACGACGTCGACGACTCTGACTGCAAATTTAAAAACAAATTTGCCGCAAAGCAACAGCAGCAAACTTTGCAAACAAAACTTTTGCCCACCCCTAAAAACTCTTCGCTTCGCTTCGATTTTCAATTCTCGCAGCTCTCTGTGTGCCTTTCAACGGGTCAAGTGTGGACGTGCGTCTAAATGTTACGTATACGCCACGACGACCGCTGCACTTCAACTTGGCACAATTGGCAGTCTGTGTGGCTGTATCCTGTCTGTGCCGCCGTCTTCCTCAAACGTCTTTGGCCAGCCCCCCAACCGTCTTTGCTGTTTGTCGAGTGCACTTTTCCCCTGTACGAAACAACAGACAAGGGCTCCCCCCACCACTGCCACCTGCCACTGTGGCAAGACGAAAGAACGTTGTTGTGGATGCCTCTCTGGTATTTACTTTTCCTCCCACGCTGTCTGTCTATAGGTTTTTTTTCTCTGTTTGCTCGGCGTGCGGCAGTGTGTTTACCGTTCGTTTAGTCAGAATGCCAACTATGACAAAATCAGAGAATCAGAGCCGGAATCGGAATCAGGATCAGAATCGAATTGAATCGAAGGCATTGCTTGAGCCACTGCCAATGTGGAAATTGTCAATAATTTCAAATTGATTTCTATTTGATTTAGCACAGAGCCACAAAGGCACAAGCTGAGTCAGACACCTTGCGCTGCCCTGCTGCATGCTCTATAATTGTGATGGCCACGGACACAGATACGGCTACGTCTACTTGGCTACGGATACGTGAAAACGTCTTCAGTTTTCAAGGGGGAGAAGCATAAGTGAAAACGTAAACTTTGACAAACACGCGGCCCTCGTTCTGAGGCCAAATAACATTAGATGGCTATTAGAGGCTTGGCCGGCTTTTACGACGAAACCATAAAAAGCATTACTTGAACTGCTGCCCGAACTCCTCGTAAAACTCGTGAAATTTGTAAGGACTCGTGCGTCTGAGCCCCTAGGCCTAGTCCTAGCTATGCCCGCCCCTTCCGGCTCTAGCTGGCAATAAAACCCAATCGATAAGTGCCCCAAAGTGTTGGAATGCCTCGTAAACAAATGGGGCGAGCCTGCACCTTAAAGCGTTCCTCCATCCATTACCCAAAAGGAGGAAGTTTATTACATCTACCACCATCATAGCGGCTATGACAATTACATATACATTACATATGTACATAGGTACATATGTATATGCTCGTATCTGTATAGGGGTGAGGGCTGTTTTGCTTACCCTGCTTGGGAGAGATGCTGAGCACCTGCTGCTGGGGCGACTGCTGCTGCGAGTGAATCTGATACTGCTGCTGCTGGACGACCACCGCCTGCTGCTGGGCGGCACAGACGGCAGCGGCCACCGCCTGCTGCTGCTGATGGTGCGCGGCAGCAGCGGCGGCTGCGGCAGCCACGGCCTGCTGTTGCGAATGCTGCTGCTGCGAGTGTTGCTGCTGCAGGTGTGGCGACTGCGACTGGGGATGCTGCTGCTGCTGTTGTTGCTGCTGTTGCTGCTGCTGCTGCTGCTGAGTGGTGACAATGGTCATCTGCTGGGCCTGCTGCTTGACGTTCTGCTGCTGCTGCTGCTGCTGGGAGGGCGCCTGTTGCTGCTGCTGCTGTTGCATGTGCGTCTGGTGGATGGCCAATAGCTTGGTCTCGTAGGGCTTGGCGCCCACCGACAGTGGCTGACTGCTGAGCGTCATCTGTGCAGTGGCTGGCATCATCAAAGTGGGCATGGCCAACATGGTATTACCGTTTTTGTTTCCGTTTCCTGTTGCAGCTGCACTTTTAGTGGGTGTTGCTTTTTATTGCTGCTGCTGTTGCTGTTGCTGCTGGTATTGCGGTGTAGAATTCGCACGTTCTGCGGTTAAACACAGCTCGCTTTGATGTTTAATGAAGTGCCTGCCTGCCGCCTTGCAGTTGATGATGCAAATAAATTGTGTTATAATTTGGCTAAATAATTTTTATGGCTGCCTTTTTTGTGTGAAACCGCACTGTTGTTGCTTTTGCTGCCGATGCTGTCGATGCTGCTGCTGCTGCTCTGCTGTTGTTTTGTCGAGTTTTATGCGCAAATCATTTGGGGCATTAAATAATTTCTACAATTGTACTAATTTGAAATGCTGCCTTTCTGTGGTTTTCTTTTCCGTTTGCTGTTTTGTTTGTTCCGCTTCGTGTTGTTTGTGGTTGCTTTTTAATTTTGCATAAAAAATTCTCCCTTTTTGCTTGACCTTCACTTATCACAGACCAATGAAATTTGTGTGGAAAAAGTTCATTTGGTTTTTGAATTGTGTGTGTGTGCTTTTTTTATAATTCAAAATCAGAATCTCTCATGCACAAAATGCTGGAAATTCCGTTGATTTTTCTACAATTTAAATTGATGGTTTTAAAACTTGGCAAAATACTATTAAATATGCAATGGAGTTTCGGTATTCCTAAGCATATATCTAATATTATTCTGTCAAGCAAAAAATTAAAAAACGAAAAATGCTCAAACAAACAAAAATTATAATTAACTTTCACTGATTCTTGAACAATTGCTGCCAGCCCCCAGAAAAACCTATAAAACAGACGTCTTCCCTTTTTTTATGTTCCTCTTGAAGCTTTGGCTTGGGCTCTGGCTCAAGCATTATCATATATCAAGACTAAGCCATTCACACATCATTTGAGAAATTAAATTTAATATTTTACGATTTGTGTGCTCGTGCGTGGCGCACTCCCCACTTGCCTGGTACGCATACAAAGCGTAACATGAGCCAAGAAAAAATAAAATGTTATGTGAGGCGGGGAGGGGGAACATCGAAAGTGCGCGTAACGCAATGTCTAAGTGCCAAAAGCAGAAACAGACAGCTCAGACAGCGAAAAAATTATAACAATAATCATAAAAGGAGCAGAGTACAAGAGTACAAGTGCCAAAAAAAAAAACAGTACGAGTACGTACAAGAAATGGAGATGGGTTTTACGACAGAAGCACCCTGAAACACAGAGGAAGCAGTGCCAGTATCAGCATCCAAAAGCCCAAAGCCTGACACCCTGTACGCCCCAAGTGTTGGCAAGTGTCAGAATCAGGCGCAGCCTCGACGTCAGTCTAACGCTTCCGGTTTTTATAGCGCCATGCTCACAAAGGGATAAGGGTCGGAAAACCGGAGGGACTGCGGGGACTGCGGGACAGCGTGACAGTGGGACAGACAGACAGACAAATGCTATGTATAAATATAAACTTATATTTTTATTTGGACAAGCCAGGACACACAGCCAGGAAGCACTCGCGGCCAGAAGACACACAAAAAAGCACGACCGGGAACAGGACGAGGACAAGCACGAGGAGCAGGACGATTGCATGAAACACACCAAAAATACAAAACACACACACAACACCCAGCACTCCTGTGTGTGTGTGTGTGTGTGTGTAAGTATGAATCACACACACCCAAACACATACCCACACACAGCTGCAATGGCCTTTTTTTTATATAGAAAAGGAGCGCCCCAGTGCGACAGTCGGTGGCAGTCGGCGTTGGCTGGCAGCAGCATTTATTGGCTGCTCGTTGTCGGTTTATGTGCCACATAAGCCGAAGTGGCAGGCTCCTGTGGTTGTTGCCACTGTGTTCTTTTATGCTGCTGCTGTTGTTGTACATAATGTGGCCAAAAACACAGCGGGAACAACAAACATATATGCACCCAGAAACGGTTGTGGTAGTCTATTTAAATAGCGACTAAAATCGATGCTTTCAAAAGCGACAACGAGACCAAGAAACCCAGAACAAGTTCAGTTGAATATTTCCAAAATACTGATACTAATACTCATATCGATTTTCAAAGAAATTCAATACTCAAAACGATTTTCATATAAAATATCAATTCATGGATTTTCAGAAAATCGAAGATCAGGCAAGGGCTTCCTGCAGCAAAAAAAAATTATAAAATTCCATTCATCCACTATAAAACTGAACAACTGAAAAACTATAACCAGTTCGGTGCGATAAAAGTCTTTTGGCAGCTATAGCACAAATTTATACTCTAGATCTCACTGAATTCGAAACACCCAAGCAAATAATCTAAACACCAAAGGAAATTATAAAAAACACTTAAAAATCACACAAAATAAGAACATAGGCGAAATTTATTTAAATATTTATTTTATCTGTTTAAAAAGTTTCGTTTTTTTTTAGTTTTTGCATTTTTATATTTTTGATAAGATTATTTTTTGTTTCAGTTCGCATTTGTATTTTTTTGTTTCTATTTTATTTATGAGTCGCACACGTCGTTGTTTTCTTGATTTTTGGCTTGAGTTTCTCTTACGTTTTTGGGGTTTTTTTTTTATATTTTGAATTCTCTTTATCGAGCAGTTGGCTGTCGGTTTGCTTTTGGTTTGTCGGTTGGTTTTTTGGTTTGAGAAATTATAATAACAACTTAACAACAATGTAACGAATATCCTTTCTTAACGAGGACACAATTCAAACTGAAAGCGAAGCGCATTCGTCTGCCTCACAAATAGTCAACATATCGGCTCGCTTACCGTTATTCTGTCGGCGTCGCCGTCGCGTCGAAGTCCTTTTTGGAATAGCCGAGCAGTGTGCGCTCGGCAGTGTCCAACCCGAGCACCCAAAAGTACGAGCGAGCGATTCACGAACTTTTCCCACTCTCAGGCATGCGCATTTCCCCATCTTCGAATTGGTTGTTGTCCATGCTAAGCCATTTTCAAATATCCCTCGAAGAGGTAATTTCCCTTCTTTTATGGGCAGCAATTATGGATGTACTTTTCTGTTATACGCGTCACTCTGTGGCATGTTAGATGCTCGTTTTCAGGGCTCTGCTCTGTTGGGAGCAGCACTGTCTGTGGTGGCTAGCCCTAACAGCGTTTAGATTACATCCTTTACACGCACACACCCATCACTCTTCATTATGCGAAAACCTCAAAGTCGTGGGGTGAGCGGTTTGAGCCGCTTGAGCCGCTCGAGAAGCGAGAACGGGGCATGCCGCCAATAGACAAGCAAACAAAGGCTCAGACGCAGCACACAAAGCAGCACATGCTATTGTTTATGTGCTCTTGAGAGCCAATAATCCACTTTTGTTTTGTTATCATTCGTGAGCCCTTTCTCACCAAATAACCAGAGAACTACCACCACCATCAGCAGAAGGAGCAGCGGCAGAAGCAGCAGCCACAACGAGCTAGAAGGCCCTGTCTGTGCCTTGGCATTTGGCTTCAGCTCTAGCTCTTGCCCTGACCCGCCACCACTTAATTTCTACTTGATTTGTCGTTTAAGAAAACTAATTGTCTGCCTTTTGTTGAGCGTGAAAACAATAGAAAACATTTGAACAACTGTTACTTTGGCCAAAAGCGTATTAGAAGCGGGCAAAGGCAAAGGCAGAGGACAAAACGAAGACGAAGACCAAAGTCTGAGGAACATTTTGTGGCAATGTGGAAAGTGGCTGGCGACTGAGGTCGCAAATGGCCCTGGTTTTTGGTCATGCAAAAGGATGAATAGGGCTATGCGGGTTTTTGTGTGAGTCTTTTCAAGGTCACTCCAAGAGATGAGCGAGCCGAGCGCTGAGATGGCGCAAATGGCGACATTTTACTATACCTCGATGCGGTCTCTGATCGATTTACCACGACGTGGATATGTATGCTGGCCCCCCGACTGGGTGGACCCCAACCATCATACCGTTGTTGCCTATTCATGGCCCAAACACAAGCACAAAACACTCGCTGCAGGCCCACACTTACGTTGTGGCAACTTGGGCCACGTTGACGTTGGCTGTGTAACAGATATCGGAGTTCGTGGCATGCAAGCCTTCAAGAAGGGTTGAAACTTGAAAGAAAAAAAAACTTGTGGCACGCATATCTTAAATCTAAATATGGAAATAAACAGAAAGAAAAGACTTGACTTGCCAGCAAGCAACCATAAATTGGATAACAGTGATCCACTCTTGTTTTTTATATATTGATTATTTATGCCACGAATGGATCTTAAATATATGTACAGAAAAACCCTGCATATGTGGTGCACATTCATTGGCATAGGTTAGATTTCCCCATGGGCTCATCCCATTGAATATTTGATCAGCTTTGAACTTTTACGGGGACAGACGACTCCCGCCAGCGGGTTGGGATCCGGGCCACGCTTTACCGGATCTCTCAGCAAGTGCATTATGCAAATGCAGAAGTTCGTGGAGCTGCGCAACCGTGACGACAATGACGCTTGGCCACAGTAACAGTCTGAACTGAAAGTAAAACACCGACAACGACGACGACGACAACGATGACGATGGCAGCATGGCGACACATTATCCGCTCGACGACTAAATATGTAAAAAATACAAACACCAACAACTGCGAAAGGTACACACACACTCATACAAAACACACACACTTACGCACACAGACACACACTGTACCAGGGCTCACGTGAGCGATTAAAATCTGAAGGAAAGTATTTCTGTTTTACTTTTTTTTTACTACCGTTGCAGCCACTGGCACTGGCACTGCCTCTGCTGCCTCTGCTGCTGCTGCAATGCTGAGGGTTGTTGCTGAGGTGTAAATGAGTCGAGTTGGAAGGGTTTGCTGGCAGCGACGCAGGCACCGGCAACGGCAGCGGCAGCGGCGTGTAATTGGAGGCGAGTGTCGTGTAAAATGTAAAACTTGCGCCGTAAATAAATCAAAACTTTCTGACTGAACAAACATTCAGGTGAGCGAAAAAATGCAACAGCAGCAGCAGCCGCCAGCGGCAGGCACAAGTGGCAGCGTGCAATGGGGTACGGTGTACGGGGTACGGGGTGTAGGGTGCCACATTTTCATATTGACAAGTGTGCCAAAGGGGAAAGCGTGTCCAGGGGGTGGCTGGTAAAAACTCAAGCATTGGACAAAAAAAAAAAACAAGGCTGATGCTGCTTGCTTCTGCTGCCGGGGTTATTTACACTAAAAATTGGAACAGCTGCAAAGCGAAGCACTTACAGCAGCTGCCGTGGGGCTGGGGGGGACTGGGGCACGAGGCTGAGCCGCGGGTACATCATATGCTGGTGGCATTGCAGAGCTGCCATCTATTAAATGACCAAGATTTTACGCTCTTCGTTTGGTATTCGTCTTTTTCATTTAAAGAGTTTCAGAGCTAAACAGAATTCCCTAATAATTCCCTAATAAATCTCCTTACCAAATATCTTGCTTCATTGAGGCTTTTAATTTTATGCAGACATTTGGGAAAATAATTAATTTAAGTTCTTGTGAAAACTAGTCTTGAAAACTTGTCTCTGCAGTAAGTGTATATCTTACATT